CTAAGACCACTGTCAATCTGTGTCTACTAACCCTTTGACTCTGATGAGTGACCAAACAGAATATTTTAGCCTTGGAGTATCAAAAAATACCGAGCAAAAAAGTGACGAGATCAAAAGGGTTAACGTCTTCCTTTGGCCTTTGCTTTGACATCCTCCATGTCAGGTGCTAAGTAGTCCGGTATCGGTGGCGTCTCAGTTGGCCCCTTGAACTCAATTGGGAAAAAATCTCCGTCAACCTTAATGGCAGCTTCGTAAAGGAGCGGAGAGGTTTTCTTCAATTCTTTTAAAGCCTCTTGACGACATCTTTCCAGTTCCTGAAAGCGCTGTAAATCTTCTTTGTGCTGCTGCATCTTGTATCTCGACCATTCTTTTAAGAGTAACGTCCTTCTCTCTTTCTCTTCAGGTGATAATTCCACCGGCCTTCGCTGCCTCGATGCTTCCAACAGCGCTGTATTCAACAAGGATTCTGGATCGATTGGAGGTACGACCTCCGCAGTTTTTCGGATGTTTGAGATCGTCTGTCTTTTCTTTTTTTGGACCACAGGCCCCTTTTTTCGCTTCAGACCTGGGTTATGTCTGGCTGGTATGGTTTGCCGTATGGACAGGCCGCTAGAGCGAACGAAGAAAGACATCAACCTCTTTTGCATGAAGGTCGCCATATTGGTTTTGTACGACTTACTTCATTCCCAGGTTTTCACGGTCGATAGTTACGATCAGTCACTCACCGATCATTCGTGGGTGATTGATCATTCATTCAGACCCTAGAGGACATTCACATAGGAGCCGCGAGATTTATTTTCAACCTAAAGGAATCTACCCCCAACACTGAAGTCCTGGCAGCGACAAAATGGAAGTCCTTATCATACATCTACAAAAAGAGGATTGCAACTATATCTTATCAGGCATTTTACAATAGAGCTCCGGCTGGTGTAAGCTCTCTATTTATTAAACACTCTCCGTTGAAAAATCTAAGGGACAGTCTGAAACTATACGTGCAATTCCCTAAAAGTGACTTCCGTCGATCTTCTTTCCCTCACCACGCGTCTATTCTATGGAACAACTTACCCATGTACTTAAAGAGCAAACCGAACACTGTTTCTTTTAAATCTGCTCTTGAAGCAAAATCCAACATTTAGATAAAATAACATTTAATGGTTTACAAGGAATAAATAAAGACATTGCAAATTACATATATTAATGTTTTATTACTACTTTTATTTATTTTATTTATTTTTAACACATCTTTTCTTACTTACCATAAATTCACAAGTTTGTTATTATTATTATTATTATTATTATTATTATTATTATTATTTATTTGTAGATACACATCAGCTTTTTAGCTGCCTTTTATCGACCTACGTGACAAATAAAGTATGTATGTATGTATGTATGCATGTGGTCCGGCGTATTTTATCGAGAGCTTTTAATCTCGTTTACCAGAAACCTTGAATGATCCGCTTTTGATCTCGATTACCAGAAACCTTGAATGACCCCACACGACTGTGTCACAGTATTTTGGGAATCCCAGAGTTTTTCTATTAATGTTAAGTAGGTCTACGCACCGTCTTTAACAACACAACACAACACAACACAAATCTATTCAGTGAGTCTTTTATTAAATGGCTGTGTCTCACAAGGACTGGGAACTACCGAAGTCACGAATTTGATTGGCTGAAATCAATATTGAAAGCGGTCTAGATTTTCCCATATAGACCGGCATCTAGACCGGTCTAGAAAAAAAAGTACAAAGCATATAAAAAATTGGCATATAAGACACAGCCATATAATAATAAACATCTTATTAACCGAGCTAGGTCAGTATGCTCGCATACAGACCTCCCGATCGGTTAATAAGAACTAAGTATTATCTTAACCCTAATTAACTCCCAGAAGTGATTAACTTGTAACCTCTACCCATGATATCCATACATCATCTAGAAAACAGGTAGTGAGAATACTCAAGCTTATCAGTTTGAATAAAGACTGATAGTTTCTAAAGAAACTGTTTGGGGCTGCGTCGGTAGGGGTAACGAAATAATTTGAATATATTAACAAAGTTGAAATGGTAAATTGGCCACTGTTACGATTATAAAAGCTGGCATTTTGAGCGTTAGCCCTTTGTCAGAGCAATTAGGGGAATTGTGGGTTGTGTGTACTTTTAAAGGCAGAAAAAGGAGCTACGTGATTGGTGGGAGCATGGCAACGAGAAAAACATGAATAAATTAGTGGAATGAAAGGGTTTTTCTCGTTGCCATGTTCCCGCCAATCACATAGCTCCTTTTTCTGCCTTTAAAAGCACCCACAACCCACAATTCCCCTATTCGCTCCGACGAAGGGCTAACGCTCGAAACGTCAGCTTTTGTAATCGTATTGGTGGCCAATTTACCATTTCAACTTTGTTGATATATTCAAATTATCAGTTTGAAGTTGTTACCTTGATTGAACACCAAATTCTCGTAACCAATTTACAAGGAAATGTGTAGCAGTTAGAGGGGAGAATTAACAATCAGATCTTGGGAATTAAAGGGTTAAGTTTGACTGATTGAAAT